AGCTGACTTCTGGAACTGTTGAAAGACAAGTTGATGCGATTTTGATGATTTTACTCCGCATAATCGCAGAGCTGCTCGGATTTACATGTGTTTGGACGTCCCACTCTGTCTTAACTTATGCGCAGAATTTGTCGAGATGATTCCAGTCCAGATGTAAATGGCTGCGTGTACAAAATTTTACTGTTTTGAATTTATCGTATAGCTCAGTGCGAACAACTAGGAAGTAGACTTCTGACCTCATAAAAACTCATATCAAGCTCATTATCAACGCAGAAATGGTTTATTCCTCTGAACAACGTTCACATTGATCTTGCTGCACTTTTAAAGGTGCAAGCTTTGTAGCGGAGCGATAGATTGGCCGCAGTTATGTTTTTGTTACTGCTGTGGGCAAGAAACAGGTCGCTTTCATCGATCTTCGAGCCCCAGGATAGATTCGACACTCCGCCGTGTACTTGACGTGCCACCATCAATATCCCTATTACGATCAGCAATAATCACAACTACAGGTACTGTCACCTGCCCACTATCACTGTAGCTGTCGTCATCATCATCATCATCACTGAGTGAGGGTTTCGAGGAAGAAGCAGCAGCTGGGAGAGCAATCTCTCGCCGATCGCTCGGGCGTTTTCTGCTTGATGCAGATGCATCGGGGACGAGCTCCCGGGAGGCCGATGTCCGAGCAGGAAGAAGCCGTCGATGGATGCTGCTGCGTCGTCCTCGCCGTTCATCGAACGCCGCCCGCCCACACATTCTGCATATCATTAGAGGCCTGGCTTCTTCTTCTACATTGCGAACAGTTCTCTCTGCGAGCTGACGGCACCACCACATTTTAGCGACGTCTTCTGTGCCCCTCCGCTCAATATCACTCATCCTGTATCTTCCAGTGATTTCCGCTCATCCTCATACGATATGATGCATCCACTCTTCGTACGTGTCGGCATGCGTGGTGTGCGTGTGTACGCTTCTCGCTATATGCCCCGATTACGCCGGTGATTTTTATGCATTCTGTACTGTAACAGTTTCACAAAACATATATTGTCGAGATTCCGTATTTGTGTGTGTACGTGTGTGTGTGGGTGTGTTTGTGTGTGTGTTTGTAGTGTGTGCATGTGTGTTTGTGTGTATTTGTAGTGTGTGTGTGTGTGTGTGTGTGTGTGTGTGTGTGTGTGTTTTGAGTGTGTTTTATTTTCAAGTAATTTTGTTCGGCTGGTTTTTGTCGACTTCTGATAATGGTCTAATTGATTTTTATTGCTTCTTCATCCGAAAAATTCCGGAAAAAAAAGGGGAGAAATTAATGCGAGGAGATTATTAAAATTTCCCATTTCATGAGAAATGAATTTAATTTTACACTGTATTTATTGTCAGTCACTGCGCTGCCATTTTTCATCGCACACAGTCAAAGCTTTTCGCGATTTTATTACAGGCATCTGCTGCAGCCTCAAGATAGTCCTCCTCGGCACTTCCGTTTTGTTCTCTCCGATTTCGCGCAGCCTATCGCACTGTTTCAGCTGAACAAGCTTTTTACTGTGTCTACTGATTGTATGTTAAAGCGCAATAATTTTCTAGCCTTTTACAATCGGTGATCGTATAAGGCAATTCTGCACTTCTTGGAGATGAATGTCTTTAAACAAGGGAAACATTGGATTTTGGTCGAACAAGCTTAGCCAGCATGAAGCACCCAGAGCGAATAGATCTTCGAATCCCAGAAAGCCTCTCTTAGTATAAGGGATTTAGGGTCGGCAAAATATCCCGGGCGAACTGCTTAAGATTTGAAACTGAATCTGCTGATGTATTAATACTTTTCGCGTATTGATTTCGATAATTCTGTGCACAGACGTTCTTCTACGGTACTGCTGCCCCTCATTTCCGCTAAATTTCCGGGCTGAGATATTTTACTTCACATTGATCAGCTACAGCTCGTGGCTGTTGCTCTCCAGCTAAGCAGCTGGCGACTTTTGTGGTTGCCCTAACCAACGGTATATCGCCCAATGGTCACTGCGATACTTGTTGCGTTTCTTCGCCTCAACTTTGGGTTATCAAATTGAAGTAATTACACGATTATCGATCCACGAAAACCCGCCATGCAAAAATCGGCTTCAAATTATTTAACTGTCTCGGAAATCATCATTTTTTGCCGATTATTCATTTATTCTTCAGTGCTCTTGATCCTGTCCACAGGATGATTCTATAGCCCGTTTATGTAGTATTTTGTCATTCTTCTGCCATTCCGCTCTTAGCTGCAGCCAACAACATGCGCTGCCGAAGTTTGAAGGATAAGCTGTTACGCTAAAATTTCTTTTTATTCACAGATATAACAAAAATATCGTTTTCTGCAGAAAAACTTTTTCAATTTTTCCATTGGACTAGAAATCGATGCCAAATTTGCATCAGTTAGAAAAAAAAAACACTAGCGCTTGTTTTATAGCATGATATCAATACAGAGTTCTGTGTGATTCAGCAAAGAGAAGGGAGTTGGCGTGATTTGTACTGAGATCATGAAAATCGGCCTCACTTCTTGCAGTTGTATTCATACCATTCGGTTGGCAACAATCGGCCTCATGTCTGATTGGCAGTTTACCGCCATGTGATACGTTGGAACGAGTGGCTGTCGTCCTAC